GTAAAAGAAGAAAAAGGGACGGAGAAAGATGATTGAGTGAACAATCAAAGTAATAAATACTTACCTCTACTCCTATGCTTCGAAAAGAAAGTACATAAAATGCTTCGAAATGGAAATACTGAAAATAAATGCTTCGAAATATAAATCTATGTTAAACTACTCCTAAGATAAGGAAAATGACAAGAAATATTGAAATCAATTGTCTTTGATTTAAGTTCTGGATCATTTACAATGTAGCCATTAATGGCTATTTATAGAAGAAAAATACAGCAATAACTACTTAGTAACTACCATTTCTTCCATCTTCATTCTTGTCTTGCCATGTGTCCTTCCACTCATCCACTTTGTCCTCCCACTCATCCACTTTTGTCCTTCATATTCTCCATTATCTCTAATACTTCTTTTAACTTCCAAATGAATAAGAGGATGCCACGTGTCCTGCAATTATATAAATAATAAATAATAATAAAATTGCAGATTTATGGTGTTAACATTACCCCCGCGGCCCTTAAAAATGATGTTTATTTGAATTTTTGAAGGGCCGAACCAAGCACATGACTAACCTAAGCAGCAAAGTGCTTCGAATGATGTAACAACACCAATAAAGCGCTTCGAATGAGTATGAAATTATGACTAGATGACTCGAATTATTACTAGTAACAAGCTTCGAAAGTGATATAAAGGACCAAAATCATTCTTCGAAGGTCGATGGAACCGACAAAAGACGGATTACATCCTCAAAAATACTCGACAAGTTTCGAAGGTTCACAACCACCATTATTATTTCTTCGAAGCTGTTGTTGATGCAAGATAGAGTGCTTCGAAGCTTACAAAATTATGGCAAAACGGCTTTCGAAGCAACTTATGGCAAAACGGTTTTCGAAGCTGTTTTTGGCCAACATTGTGGTTATTCAAAACTTATATGTTCTGGTTCACACATAATTAATGAAAATATTAATTTTGTGCTTCGAACCAATTATTAATTCTTCGAAGATACCAAAACTGTTGTTCTTCGAGCCAACTTATGATGCCAAAAACAGGCATTATTCGACAACTAATTAATTGTCATTTTACATATATTTGAAGAGATGTACACATTTCGAAAGTTTCAAAGTTTTATACAGTTTCGAAGGTGAAGTAATCAACCTTCGAAACAACTCTTGATGTTCGAATGTATCTTCACAGCTTTATACAGCTTCGAATGTGTAGTAATCAACCTTCGAAAACAACTCTTGATACTTCGAATGTATCTTCGATGCTTTGATTGTGTACATACAACAACTGGCCCTCAATTTGAAAAGATAAGCCATTCTCAACCATTTATTTAAATGCACAGGCATTTTCTAGCCAAGTTCATGCATTTTAAATGGTCTCCCTTGTTCTTAGTGCTTCGAACTCATAAGAATAATTTGTTAATTTTATTAGCCACATCATCATAATTATATTTTGATGTGAACCACAAATCCAAAAAGGATTTTGAACACCAAAAGTCATGGTATAGTGTGACCATGAAAATTTATACTTTTTGACATTTTGAAAAATATCAAAAATTTTGAATTCATGAACAGTGGCTTGTTCATTATTCTTGACCATGTTTGTTTTAAAAACATGACTTTTGCCAATAGGTTTTCATAATTATTTGGCAAAGTGGGTTGTTTTTCCATGTTAGCCATTAATGGCTTATGAAAATCACCCATAGATATATTATTTTCATGACTTGACTCTCTAAAATTTGGTTTTTGGACCCCCCGAGCCATGTATAAAACATCATTCTTAGTCAAATTTGGCTCAAAAAACATGCTTTTTCGTTATGTTAATTTCATAATTTGGCTCTTTAAAAACGGACTTCTTGAACCCCCCGAGCCATTGATGAAATCAACTCTTTACTTTTGCTATTTTCAACCATGGAAAAATTCTGAAAAAATTCACCAATTCCGGCCATTAAAGCCTCAGTTAAAGACTTGTAGTGAGAGTTGATAACTCATCATTCCATTGGCGAATTTCCATATCAAGTTGATGAATTTCTCTAATTAAATGGTGTCTTTTTTTCTTCCACCAAATAATATTGTAATGGATGAAAGTTTATTTCATCAAGAAAATGGATCTCTTCTTGAAGATCCAAAATTTTTCTTTCACGCCAATATATTTCAAATTGACAATTTGAATGGCGAAATCCAAATCGTTTGTCATTTCTTACACTTGGCAGTCCCACGGCGTGCCAAAAATGTTGGCTTATTTTTCCTACGAAGGAAAATATCATAAATGCGAGCGTGCCAGCAAGGATTGAAAAATCCTTACAGATTAAATTCAAGCCAATTATCAAGCGATTGTGTTGACGGTTCTTTTGCCTCAACGAAGAGGACTTCAAATTTGCCAAGTGTAGGGAAAAGAAAAAGTTAAAAAAATTATAATTTTTTGCTTTTTAGGTACATTTAGGTTAGGTGCATCTAAAAACTAAAAAAAAAATTTGCTTAAAATATTTTTAAAAATTCACTAAAAACAAAAAAAAATGAAAAATAAAAAATTGAATTTAGAAAATTAGAACTAAACAAGGTCAAAAATTTTTTTTATCGGTTTTAGTTAACAAAAATAGGTAAATGGTTTAGATTGAAAACATATCAAAATATTACAATTTAAATTGATAAAATTAAAAATTTAAGATTTATTTTGTTACAAGAGTCAAAATTGAGATATTATTTTATAATTATTTCTAAAGCTTTTTTTAATAATTTTTTGTATTTAAATAATATTATTTTATTATCAAATAAAGTTTTGTTACAAATAAAATTTTTTCGTAAAAAATTTATTAGTAATCATGTTTTTTTGTTTAATTATAAAGCAGTGATACTAATTTATTTTTCTAACTAAAAACATGTTTGAAAATAAAGACGAAAAAATCATTAAAGACGAAAAAATAAAAAAATTAGTATATTTTTATATTTCTTGCTTTTAGTGAACATTTTTTAGATTTTTTTAAAAGTATTTTGTTTTCAAATTTTTTTAAAAACTAAAACTTAATTTAGTGATGAAATGAAAAAAACAAAATAAGAAGTCCAAAATGGAATTGATATTAGATGATAGTTTAAGAGGGTAAAGTGTAATTTATCCAATTGATGAAAAGATATTTTAGTCATAATGTCTTTGATTTAAGTTCTGGATCCTTTTACAATGTAGCCATTAATGGCTATTTATAGAAGAAAAAATACAGCAATAACTACTTAGTAATTACCCATTTCTTCCATCTTCATTCTTGTCTTGCCATGTGTCCTTCCACTCATCCACTTTGTCCTCCCACTCATCCACTTTGTCCTTCATATTCTCCATTATCTCTATAACTTCTTTTAACTTCCAAATGAATAAGAGGATGCCACGTGTCCTGCAATTATATAAATAATAAATAATAATAAAAATTGCAGATTTATGGTGTTAACAAATTTGGATATGACATTTTATCTTATTAGTTAGTTTAGCTTATTTTGTCTTCATTAGCTATTTTAGCTAAAAAAAAAGAAAAACCAAAAATGCAACTTACCAAACACCATTACATTTAACCTATGAAGCACATGTATTCTAAAAATGTTGCCGTACAAGTACCAGATACTGAGTATGAATACGGCTATCGGATACAGCAAAAACTAGGGATGGCAATTTGAAACCGGCCCGACGGGGATCCCCGATCCCGACACCAATTTAAGCGGTTTTTCCCTGAAAAATACCCCCGACAGGGAGAAGACGGTATCTGAAAATCAATCTCCGATCTGTTTCGGGCCGGGGACGGTGATCAGTGTTTAAGCCCCGACCCAGCCCGATCCTCGTCCCCGTATATATATATATATATAAAACCAACTCTCTCACTGTATCACACCAATTTCCCCGAATTTCCCCGTGTATCACATTTCAAGCTGGAAAGGTGGGGGACACTATCACATAAAATAGTTGTAAGAAAATTTTGTGTTTGGCTGTGAATTCAAAACATGATTCTACATGTGAACTCCCGCTTCACGTTTGGATAGGATGTTCAAAAGTTGATTCAGCGTGTTAATTCAAATTAGATTTTGAAAATCCGTTTGGCAGCTTGTATCTCCACTTTCAACGTTTCTGAAAAGCTTCCATGTCCTTCTCCTCCATCGTCTCTGTTTCACGTGAACCTCATCTGTGTATCAAACCTGGGGGATGACCGGGCGGTAGACCTTGGGGATGACCGGCCGGTTGTCCTCCTCTCTAAAGATGAACTGTCATCAATTATTTTATAGAAAGGTGAAGTTTAAAAGGTTCAGAAAGGTGAGATTTTATTCAGATTTTCTATCAATTATTTTAGAAAAAAATTAAAAACGTATTTTACAAGATGTTTGTACAAGTGTAAAAAATAAATTGATAGAAAAATTAATTGACACAAAATAATTGAAATAGGTTTATTTTAAAATGACAAAATTATTTGAAAAAAAAATTATTCAAAAAAAAGATTTGAAAAAAAATTAATTGACAAAAAAATGGTATTTTTAATGTCAGTATTTTAAAAATAGTTTGGTTATTTTTGTTGATTAAAAATATGGATATCGATAGAAAAATTAATTGGTAGAAAAAAATTGACATCGGTTTATTTTAAAATGAAAAAATTATTTCGAAACAACAATTATTCAAAAAAATTACTAAAAAAAAATAATTGACAAAAAAATCAATTTTTAATTTCAGTATTTTAAAAATAGTTTGGTTATTATTGTTGATAAAAAATATGGATATCGATATATGAGTTGTGTGCTTGATGATAAATTATTAGTTGAATTAAGTTTTGAAAATTATTTTCAAAACACATCACCAAACAAATTTTCACCTTTCACATGTCACATCAAATTTTCAAAACTTTTAATTCAAAATACATCTTCAAAACACAATTCAATATTCTATTTAAAAATCATAACCAAACAAATTTTCTACACTCAAATCATAATTCTACAACTCACAAACTCAAAATACAACTCATACTCTCAAATCACATTTACAAAACACAACCAAACGCTGGGCTTCAACTCTCTCACTCTCTCATTTCAACTCTCTCTCTCTCTCTCTCTCGTTGTTCTCTCTGGCCTCGACCCTCCATCTCTCTCACCGACGGCGACATTACCACCGCTGCTGGCTCCGACCCCCCTCTCTCTCACTCTTTCTCTACCCTCTACTCTCTCTCCGTCTCCGCAGCACAGCCGCCACTGTCCGCGAAGCCGGCGTCGCTGTCCACTTCGCACCGCCGCTTCACCTCTGTCGACTTCGCCGTCCCTTCCACCTCCGTCGCTGCCCTCTCTCTTCCTGTCCGTCGAGTCACCGTCGTCGCCGTTACACAAAGATCTCAGATCTGTGATTATACTATAGATATGGGTAATTATCTATAGATCTGATTTCATTTATAATTTCTATAGATTTGTATACATGTAAATTTCATTTATAATTTCTATCTATTGTAGAAAATAAGAAAATACTATAGATCTGTATGTGTTTTGTGTATCTGTGTGTGTTTTGTGTTTTGAATGTTGAAACAGATTTGGATCGGGGGAGTTTTGGGGTCGGGGAAACCCGGTCCTCGTTGAGGGCGAGGATGAGAACAGTCATAGGTTCCCCGTCGGGGATCGGGGCCGAGGCCGGGGATATTTTCACCATTGGGGACGGGGAGGGTGATCCCCGCCCTGCCCCGCCCCGTCCTGTTGCCATTTCTAGCAAAAACGCATCGAGTACGTTTTATACGATTTGTAGATGCTCGGTACGCCATGGGTATTCCATGGCTACGTTTTTGGGTACACAGGGTAAAAAATAAGATTTTTAACAATTACAAGGATGCCGGAGTGTTAAGTTAAAAAAATTAAATAACTTTGGGTTCTTTTGTAATAATAAAAACATAACACAAATGGAAATTGGAAATTAGGTTTGTTGTTTTGACTCAATTGTCTCTGACGAAGAGCACAGTCGACGAGTTCGAAGAAAGAACACAGTCGTCGATTGAACTCTTCTTCGAAGACGACGGTGCTGGTCGACGGAAAAACTTGATATTCCGGTGAGTTTCTCTTAGTTTCTCTGCTTCGATTCTTCTTCCTCTTTCTTTGAATTTTTTTTCAGATTTTTTCTCTCTTTTTTCACAGCAAACAACCAGATCTGTCCAACATCTGATTTTTCTTGTTTCTGGTGAGTTTTCTTACCTTCTCTTGTAGCCAATCTACTCTTCTTTGATTATCTTCTTCTTTGATTATCGTTTTTTCTGATCTTCCCAACATCTGATTTTTTTTTTTTCCTGATATAAGTTTGTAGTGGACACAATCAGATATGAAATAAAAGATAGAAAAATTTAAAATCTAAGAAGGCAAAAGAAAGGAACATTTAAATTTAGAGTTCATAAGCTGATTCTGATGTATTTATTTCATTGTAATTACTTTCATAATATTGATGGTTTTAAATTATTATTTGAATATTTGAAAGTTTATATACTCGAATGAAGTGAAAGAATTCACAAATTATTTTGGTTTTGTAATTTCTTTTTAATTATGATAGTAAATTTTGATTTGTATATTTGATGTTTAACTATAAATTATAATAAATAAAAAAATAAAAAATAAAAAAATAATTAATGTACCCCAGCCGTACCTATATCATACTTTTTAAAGAATTTGTTGTATCCGCACCCGCACCCTTGCTTCCTAGCATTTCACTTTACTCGTGTGTTTGATTGCTCATATTCATGCCTTTGTAGGTACATGTGGCTGTATATATTTCACATGGATTGTAGAGTATTCCAATAGATTGAATTGTTAGCTTTTGGTTTGGTATGAGCTAGTCTCTTTTGGGAACATGTTATTTTAGTAACTTTTTGATTTTTTGGTTAAAATAGGAGGTAAAAAAAACTACTATGTTTGGAATAACTTTTTGATTTTTTACGAAAGATGTGTAAAAAGTAGAGAAAAAAAGAAATTTTTGACTTTTTGGTTGTTGGTTTTTTTAGTTTTTTTAGTAACTTTTTGACTTTTAGGCTAAAATATTGTGTTGCCAAACGAGGAGTTAAAATTAAAAGTGTATGAAGAGAATCATTTACTCCCACTGTTCCTTTGTTATCTCTCATCATGAAGGATTTTAGTTGAATCAAGAGAAGTTGGTTCATTTTGTTGCACAGACTAAATAAAGAGGAATTAACCGATGGAAACAAATAGAGTGCCTTGACTATTTTAATTGGATAGCATTAAATGGCCATGTTCAAAAGGATTTGGAACATTGAGGCCTCGTTTAGAAACAAGCTATTTTAGTGATTTTTTTGATTTTTTACGAAAAGATATGCAAAAAAGTAGAGAGAGTGATGTGACAACTTATAGTGACTTTTTGACTGAAACATGTAATTACCAAACGAGGCCTCATAATGAAAATTTGGTTTGGGTGATCTGTAGCATAGAGCCAATGGGACCTGTATAAACTTGCCTCTTGGGTTTTGAATGTTTTTGGATTGAACAAATTTTGTGCCTACTCTGATGGACCATGAAGGAGATGACAATTGGTTGTTTGACTTTCTATAGAAGCAAATCTAAATCGGACAAATAGGAACTCAAACCAGTATCACTAACTAGCTTGGACCTTATAGATCAGTTAGGAGATGAGGTAGTATGCCTAGTATTATAAGTTAATTAAACCTCCAGTCAAATGAGGTTTAAAGCTAAGACCTCTTTTTAGGTTGTTATTTTTGCTATTGGCTAATGTGGTCTCTTGATTGCCGAAGACTATCTTCCGTTCTATAAAGTCAGCAGGTGGTATCAATGTTTTGTGGCACCTTGGAGTGGATCTTGTAATTCCTGGGTTTCGTTTCCCTCAAAATATTTTGATTACTTTATTTAGTGTCTACTTATTTATGCCCCATACTGGGCTTAGACATTATGTGTTAAATTCACTGGATGTGCTTTAAGTTTGAGGGTTACTTTAGTTGGTAACCTTATTGAAGATCCTCTTGGAAAGTACAACGGCACTTGTCATGATGCATCATTTTTGATTCTGCTGTATGCTTCATGAATTTCTCTAAAATGTGGAACACCATTTTTGAATGTGTTTTATTCTGTTTGTGGTGTTCATTGATATTAATTAGGCTCCCATTCTTCGATGTTCAGTTTTGTCATTTATGAAGCTATTTTTTCACACACACATATATATATATAAAATCAAAACAATAGCCATCTCCTTTCCAGCGGATGTGGAGGAACTACAACTGTTGAAGCTACAGCTTATAGAACCTGTAAATGATTTTTAATCTTAATTTTTTTTAAAATTACTTGAAAAAATGTGAAATTTGCATTCAACTTTTGGTTAATAAATGTGTTGTATGGTTTGCTATATAATATGAAAGAGCTGTATGACATGATATTTATGTGTACATTACTTCTCCAGAAAAAATTGTAATAAGTTCTTATGTATTGTTTTTTGGGATTAATGGTCTCAAACAGTGCTGCACCTTAGCTGGATGAAAACTTTGGGGATATGGAGATCAATCTATTTTTTGAGTGATGGGGAGCCATTACTGCTTTACCTTTGGTCTTCGTTATGGACTTTAGATATGATGGTGGGCTGTGTTATGTAGAGGGCTATAGTCGTCTGTGTGGGAGTAATTAGGAATTTTGGCTGTCACATTTTGAGGTATTGGTCTGCACGGTAATGGGAAAGATGCTATCCCGGTTTAGAACACTTGGTCCAGATGGTTGCCAACAGTGTTTTTTAAGGCGAAAAGCGAACCGAGGCGACAAGGTCTCCTAACGCCTAAGCAGGAGGTGACGAGGCGAGGTGAGGGCTTCATCGAATTGAGGCAACCACAAAGGATATTTTTTTAAAATAAATAGTATAGACAAAAATATAAATATTTTCAAAAACCATCATGCATTTATCATTTCAAATACTAAATATCCATAAACAGCAGAAAATGTCCAACAGTGACAAATACAATCCACCAATCCAAAGGTTCTAAAAATCATCTGCAACATCAAGCAAATGAACTTCTTCTTCATTATCATTGGCTTCATCATATCCGCCTGCATCTTCTTTTTCTTCCCCATCTGAAATTGACTTTTCCTCATCAATAAGTTATAATCTAGGTCTAGCTGCTGATTTTGAAGTTGAATGACCCCTTTCTATTGCCCTTGTTGATCTAGTTCTTTGGCTACTTTCCTCAACTCTAGCAGCTCTAGCAACATCATCCCATGTCAAAGTATCATCCTCAAAGACAAGTTCCTCCTCCGTCCTCCCAACCAACCACTCGTTACTTTCATCAATATCTATCAAAGTGATGGGATCAACAGTGTCACGGGAATTGTATTGACGTCTCAATGCTCTATTATACTTGACAAATACCAAGTCATTCATACGTTTTTGAGCTAAACTATTTTTCTTTTTGGTGTGAATCTGCAAAAATTCAAATCAAATAAAAATATTCAAATTTTCATCTAGGTATTAATAAATTTGTAGGTATTCATATTCACTACATTTAAAAATAGGGACTCACGTGTTCAAACACACTCCAATTCCGCTCGCATCTAGATGAACTATAAGTTAAACTAAGAATTTTGATGGCAAATGTGGCGTTTCAGAACTATATGCACTCCACCAATCAGTTGTTGATTATAACTAATTAATTAGAAAGAATATTTAAAATATAAAAAGCTAATTAAAATTACTTAAGTATAAAATATAGATCATCTGGTGCTCTTGTAGTTCTTTGTCTAATGGCCAAAGCCATTCCAAAGAGACCTTTAGCTTTCTTATAGGTAGTTAACTCTGCGCAAACTTTTATCTTGTGTCTCACTGTTTGGGACCAACCTTTGTATGCATTTATACAGGCCTGACATGACTTCCTTATCTTTGTCAATATTTGGATTTGCGTAAAAATACTTTGGGTTTAAATAATACCCAGTTACATGCAAAGGCCTATGCAATTGAACATTCCATCTATTGTCAATTATTTCAAAAAACTCATTGTACTTCTCTTCATTTCCATTAAATGATTTTGCAATGGCTTCTTTAGCCCTATCCATTGCCTCATAAATATATCCAATGGGAGGCTTTCTCTCACCATCAACCAATCTAGATCTAGCAAAAGATCCCATAGGAAGGCCTCCATAAACTCTTAGTTCATTAGTTAGAACTGAACCATGCAATGCAATTTCTTTTTCAAATGTCTTGTTGAAGTTGGGAATTTTAAAAATGTCCTCCAACATCAAGTCCAAGCAATGAGCTGCACATGATGTCCAATACAAATGTGGCCGCTTTGCCTCCAAAAACTTCCCTATAACAAGTTAAAAAAAAAGAACTAGTTTTTAAAATGAGAATTGCATATTCATATTGTAAGTACCAAGTAAATGTATACTACTAAGTTACTAACTGGCCAACACATTTGCTGAGGCACTATCCGTAACAACTTGAACCACGTTGGCTTCACCAATACACTCCACAATGTTGTCAAGCAATTCAAACATCTTATTTGCATCCTTGGATAAGCTAGAAGCATCAACGGATTCAATAAACATTGATCCTCTTGGGCAATTAACCCAAAAATTAATTAATGCCCTGTCTTTTTTGTCTTTCCACCCATCGGCCATTAAAGAGCATCCATATGCTCCCTAATCTTTTTTATGATCCTCCATGGTCTTATTAGTGTGGTCTACCTCTTTCTGCAAATAAGGAACTCACACCTCATGGTAGCTTGGTGTTTTTATGTCAAGGCCATATTGCCCAAAAGCTTCAACCATTGGCCCAAAACTATTGTAGTTCACAACATTGAAAGGTATACCCGTATCACACATCCACCTTGAAAACTAAACAAGAGCCCGATCTCTCAACACCTTCTTGCTAGGATTATTATCATCAATTCATGTTTGCTTCCCCTAGGCTTTACGATTTTGCACCGCAACTTTCGGATCAGGGGTGAAGTACACATCCATGGGTCCTTTTTTCTTTGGTTGTTTGGAAGCAACAGATTTGGAGAAGCTACTTCTTTATTCTCGATGGGTAAAAGCTTGAGTAGGAACATGCCTTTTATCATGTTGATTTATCTCAAGAATTTCATCATCATCATCTTTATCATTATCCATCTTATCAAAATCAAGAACCATCTTCATTTGCACCTTTGATCAACTTTTTTCAGACATATAGTCTTTAATCTCATTTTTGACATGGGATGGACATTTTTACAAGCAACAACATTTTTATAACCACTAGCAAGATGTTGCTTGACTCGGTAAACACCGCCATTCATTTCTTTGTCACAAAAGTTGCAAATGAACTTTGAAAGGTTTTGGAGATTTACCATCCGTGCATATTGCCATGCCGGATCTTTTTTACTTTCACACGACTTCGACATTTAATTTTAACCAACCAAGCAATTCAATGTTAAGAAATGAAGAAATTAAAGTGCAAAGAAAAAAACAGTTTAAACATAAAGAAATTAAAGAACAACATATTTTTAGCAGAGGTAATCATGGAAAAATAGTGTTTCAGCAAAATTAATTGAAATTTTTTTAGCAAAATAATTAAGCAATTGTAAAATAAAATTGATTGAAAAAATTTTCAGCAAAATAAGTAAGAAGAGAAACAAAACAAGAACCGGGGAAGGAAAAAAAAAAAAAGGGGGGGAAAAAAAAGGTTTGGCGAAAAAGAAGAAGAGGAAGAGGGAAAAAAAAAAAAAAAAAGAGTTCGAGGAAGAAGAAAAGAAAGATAAAAGGAAGAAGAAGCAGCAAGAGAAGACGAAGATTCTAAAGGAAGAAGAAAAGAAAGGAAGAAGAAGAAGCAAGTACTCACCTCCTCTTTCGACTGGAACGATGTCGGAAGCAAGTAATTAGCGAGGTTCTTGAAAGCAATTGTCGACTGGAACGATGTCGACTAGGGTTTCGACTTCTTATTTAGTAGAAAGCAATTATAAAGTGCAACGCATGTCCACAAACAGCACAAAAGTCATTCAAATCAAGGGCCTAGATCTTTCGAACTGAAAGCAGACAAAAAATGGTGAAGTGATGCTTCGCATCGCCTCTCGTTTCGACGCCTAAGCCTCGCTTCATGCGCTTCAACTTCGCTTCACCATTTCACCTCGCCTCAGTGGGTATGAAGCGCTAAAGGGTTGCCTCGCCTCGCCTCGCCTCGCTTCGCGCTTAGGCGAGCGCTTAGTCGCACCTCTAATAACACTGGTTGCCAATTATGTTTTTAATAGTGTAGGATTTAGATCTAGCAAAAGATCCCATAGGAAGGCCTCCATAAACTCTTAGTTCATTAGTTAGAACTGAACTTTCCTTTCTGTTTGTACGTCCATTTTTCTTACTATTTTACCCCTAAGGAGTAGGATAATATCTTAATTATTCATGTTTTATTTTTCAACAGTTTACTGAAATCAACTCTCTTTGTATATTAAGCAAGCTTTACACTAGTAACTACTAGTATGATTTTCCGTCTCTCTAAAATTGGGTGTTACCACCCTGTTTATTCATTTCAATGAGAAAGAAATATGACGGCCTTACCTTCCTGGCCTATAACATGGGTTCCCTTTCCCCACTACAGCTGGCTATATTGAGAAACAACAATACTACATACCCATAAAAATTTCCCATAATAATACATCTATGACCCACAATCATTCTGGGTGTGGCCTGCATCCCACCAATTTTAAATCTACCCCATCCACCTCATTTTTGGGATAACTTTCGGGGGCAAACTTTCATGGTTCATAGTAATTTTCATTGAAAAAAGTGAAGCCTGCTTCCCTAAAACCCTCTACAAAGGGGAAGATGAATGCAACCAAACCAGCAGGTTTTCTGATTCAAGCTTTAGACTTCTTTTGTACCTGACCTATATGAATTGATCAGTAGAATGCACTTCCTTTGAACTTTAAGTGTCCGGGCTTTGATGGGAGGTGACTTTTACTACAGTTACCACTTACATTTTGTGACATGGTTATCTTCTTAGCTGTTGCAGGCTAAATATGACAGCCAAGTACATAGTATCTGCTGTTTTGGGATCTTTTGCTATCTCATACTCATTTGACTATTTGATGGCTGACAAGAAGATATTTGGAGGTAAATTTCTGTTTATTCTTGTTATTTTCATCCCTTGTGTTGCAGCAATTTAATATAATGTTGGCCTTTGACCAGGCACTACCCCAAAAACTGTTTCGAACAAAGAATGGTGGGAAGAGACTGACAAGAAGTTCCAGGCATGGCCTCGGACAGCAGGTTCTCCCGTTGTTATGAACCCCATCAGTCGCCAGAATTTTATTGTCAAGTCAAATGTCGAAGCTTGAAGCTCCACAACTAGCATGTGATCTGTCACAATGCTTTTTCGTTTGATGTGCAATTTCAAACAAAGCTATACTTAAGTTTGGACTGTAATGGCTTTCATACTCGTTTATTTGCCTTAATGTTTTTGGACAGGTTCTTCTTGATATGCTGCAGACTAGAGCTTAATAAATGTTTGTGGGGCAATCATGTACTTGTTTCATATGATTATTTGGTATGTTAAATTCTAAATTTTATCTCAAGATGCTTCTGGACCATGCAAATCATTTTTTCACGTATGCAATGAATAAGAAAAGAGTAGAAATAGACAGATGAGCTGCTATGCGGGCATTACAAATATTGTGTGAATCAACCGGTGAGTTTTACGCGTACATATTGGTCTGTTTTGTGAATTCATTTAGGATGTGAAAAATTGGTGAAATTTATCTGGTGATCGTGACATGAATCATTTTTGCTAAAATGGACATTAGTAAAACACAATAAAGTACCAAGAAAATTAGTGTAGTTAAATTCTCTCTCAGCATTTTTTTGTCCCTTCTTTGATTAAAATTCATAATTCATTCTTTTTGAACATTTAGTAATGCTAGATGACAAGAATTTAAATACTTAAAAATAATGTGATTCAATTTCATTTCAAGTGGATTTTTACTATACACGAGATAAATTTCAATCAAACTTTTTTTTGTGTCCAAGTTCTTGGCCTCTATTATTGGACCTAGGTTCATCCAAGGTCTGTGGGAACAAGAAACTCATCACAATCAAAATTGAAATGGACATGAAAACGATAGATGTTTCAAACTTTCCATTATTTTTGTTTCTAAAAATGCAAAAACAAAAAAACAAAAATGATACAAAACATGGCAAAATGAAGTTCATATAACTAAAACTAGTAGAGGTATATATTGAACTGGCAACTGGGTACAATTGTTATTTCCATGGGAACATCAAACATTTGGGAGATTCATAGTTACTCATCATCACAGAGTGCATATATTCCCAAACACATCTAGAAACCAAGAACTCAATTGTAAAATTTAAACCCTAATATCAACACCACCACAGATTAATCCCTCATTGGAGGACACTTCTTGAATGAACCCTCCACCAATTTCTTCTTCTTCCACTTCTGAAAAATATTTTGCCCATCAACTCCAATACAGAACCGGCAGTATACTCTGCATAATATGTTCTTCATATCCTGGCCATTGGATTTTTGATCACAGAGATCAAGAATAAGGAAAACCCAATTGAATTTGTTCTAGTTTTGTGTGATTTCTTGAAGCATTTCCACCACTTTTTTCATTTTGGGCCGCTTGGCTGGTGTGTTGTCGGTGCAGAGCAGTGCAACCTTTAGCGCTGCAAGCATTTCTTTTCTCCAGGTGAAGGAGACGGTGCTGAGCTTCGCGTCGAGTATCTGCTCTGGAGTTTCCCCTCTTGCTGGTGCATTGTGAACCCACTTCACCAAATCTATCCCTTCACCAAAGGCCTCATCAACTGGTAGTCGGGTTGTGAGAATCTCAAGCAAAACAACACCATAGCTGTAGACATTTCCCGGTGCTGTAACTTGCATTGTATATGCATACTCTGTAGAAATGATAAACAATCACAAAAAAATCAAAATAGAGTGGATAACATAATCTAGAAGCAAAAAAATAAAAAAAAAAATAAACTGATAAAAAACTATAAATCAGTGTGTGATATGGATAGAGTACCTGGGGGAATATAACCAAATGAGCCAGCGACTGCGCTGATGCTTGCAGTGCCTCTGGACGGGTCCAAGAGCTTCGATATCTCAACTTCCCCAACCAAAGCTTTGAAATCAGCATCTAAAAGAACATTAAAAGAGGAGATATCAAGGTGTATAATGGCCACATGATGAAGGAAAGCCAACCCTTCTGCTACTCCAATGGCGATGGCGAGTCTTGTTGGCCAGTCAGGCTTGTAATCCGGGAGCTTAGTAGAATCATGAATCAACTGAGCCAATGTTCCATTGGGAAAGTAGTGATGTAACAAAAGTGCAACGTCTTCGTAGATTACGTATCCAATCGGTCTCACTAGATTATCATGATGGAGTTTACTCAGCCTTTCCACCTCTCTAATCATCTTACTCTGGTGATCAATCACTGTTCTGTCCATAGATTTCAGTCTCTTCACTGATAAAACCATACCAGAAGGCATAACTGCTTTGTACACAGAGCTGAAAGTTCCATTGCTCAGCTTATTCGATTCCTTCATTGTTGCTTTGACAACAGCATCGAAATCTATTGCTTGTCTGAGATTCTCAACAAATACATTTCCTGCTATTATTGACGGTCGGTTATTGCTTCCCTCATCAGCGATTCCTGCAGCTTTGGTAGCATTTTCTTGTCTCTCCCTCATCATAAAGAGCAGAACAACAATTGTCACCGATACAAAAACCGCCAACCCAGAACCAATAACCGCTAATATGATCTTGTAAGAGACCTTGTGATGGTAGCTCTCATGGTCCGAACCATTAAAATTTCCACATGAACTCAATGGCTCTCCACAGAGCCCTTTATTCCCCAAAAAGCTTGAACTCGGGCTCTTTTGGAATGGCCCGAAGGTGGGTATAGGGCCGTTGAACAGATTATTTGAGAAATTAACCTCTATCAAACTCAACATGCCCTTAAGCGCAGTTGGGATGTTGCCAAAGAGTTGATTATTTGACACATCCAAAGAAACCAACTTGTCGAGCCTACCTAAATCAATAGGCAATGGTCCATGGAGATGATTGAAGCTCAGATTCAACGCTATCTGCAAATTCTTGATGTGACCAATCTCAGGAGGGATAGTGCCGGTAAGATAATTACTACCCATTTGCAATTCGAGCAATTTCACACAGTTCCCAATCTCATGAGGTATTTCACCACTAAATGAATTCTGACTCAGTAGCAGGTATTGCAACCTCGTTGTGTTGCATATATCTACTGGAATGGTGCCATTGAATCTGTTATTGCTCAAATCAAGCTTGTTAAGATTCTTGCAGCTAAGAATCGATGTTAGAACTTTGCCAAACAGACTGTTACTGGAAACAATCAATTCTTGCAGATTACCAAGCTGTCCAATCTCCGGAGGAATTGTTCCAGTAAAACCATTTGAGGCCAAATTTAATAGGCTGAGATTAGAGCATTGAGAAAACTCTGCGACAATCTCTCCAGAAAGATTGTTGTTGTCTGCTTCAAAGTACGTAAGGCTGCTAACATTTCCAATCGTCCTTGGAATACTTCCTATGATTTTGTTGTTTCCAATTCTAATACTCGAAAGGCCCTTACAGTTCCCAATCGCCTCGGTTATATTGCCAGTCAATTTGTTCTGAGTCAGAACCAAAACTTCTAGCTTTCCCAAAGCGAAAATGCTATCGGGTATTGTCCCTTCGAGCTGATTCGAATGAAGATTCAACAACTGGAGTTCTGAATTCAATCCTAAATTACCAGGGATTGTACCAACTAATTCATTCTCATAGGCTGTAAACACTCTCAGATTTGTCAAATTCCCAACCCAAAATGGGATACAACCATTCAATCTATTGGTAAAGATTTGAAAGTCTCTCAACTTTTCTAGGCCTTCAAGCTCATCAGGTACTTGTCCAATGAGCAAGTTATTGGATAGGTTCAATGATCTAAGATTTCTGAGCCTACCCAACTCAACAGGAATTGAATTTCCAAACTTATTTGAAGACAAATCAAGAAACTCAAGCTCAGACAAATTCCCCAAAGCAGGTGGGATTGATCCATGGAAGTTATTATATGAAAGGTCAAGCCATTTCAATGCTTTGAGCTCAGAAATGATAGTGACATTACCTTCTAGCCCTCGGCGTGAAAGATCGAGCTTTTCGACCATGGAATTGCTGGAGTTGCATCCAATGCCAGACCAAGAACAGTAGTCTGAGTTGTTTAGACCCCAATAAGTTAGTCCAAGCTCTTTGGCTATTGTTTGCAATGTGGTTTGGTCATGGTGGAGCTGAGCATCGACAAGTTGAGACCTTGATAGAAACCCAAATAGCAAGATAGAAAACAAGCATAGAAATTCCATTATAAGGATGTAAAAACCCCCCCAAACAGAGATCAAGAACACAACAAACCCAGAAAATGGAACATCAGTTTCTCTTAGGCATTTCCTCGAAAACAAACAGCTTCTGATTTCAAAAACCCACTTGCCTCTCCAAAGATTACTTAATCAATATTCAGAGATTTTGGTAAAAACACAATCGAGAGCTCACACAAAAAAGACCTGAGCTTCAAAACTCAAAAAAAAAAAAAAAAAAAAAAATCACTTTTTAAAGATGACCAAAAAAAAAAAAAAAAAAAATCACTTTTTAAAGATGACCCATTTTAGAATTCTTGATTTTCAGGAGAGAGGTGTTGTACAATCAAGGCTTTATGATCGAAAACTCAAGGAACCCAAAAGGGAAAAAGAAGCTTTGAGAGGCAAACAGGGGTTAAAACAAAGAAAAGAACTGGAAAGAGAAAATATATAATAAGAAAAATGGGGTGTGAAAAAAATAGCAATCTTTACATGAGAACGAGAGAGGGCATGGTTGTTGCAGAAGCAAAAACAGGAATAACTTCTCCAAAACGAAATGGGAGTTGATGAAAGAACAGTACAACGTTTAGTACTGCTGGTTTCAGGGACCAGGTGTTTTTCTGTGTCCCAGAGATGTAGAGAGAGAGAGAGAGAGAGAGAGAGAGAGAGTGTGTGTGATGAGGTTCAGAAGAGAGTTGGGGAGTGGAAGAGAAATCCTTCTAACAAAGCGTCACGAGAAATGAGCAGTCATGAGTGAATGAAACTGTATGAATTTCTGAAGAAATTATTTAGTGCTATTAGGTTGTATTTGATTCACTTAAAAAAAATGGTAATTTAATGATTGAGACTCCCTCCAATCATCACTCCCACTACTCTCTACACACATGTGGCGGGTGATGATTGAAGGAGAAGGAAAAAATAAAATAAAAGTGACCAATCAAATGAAGAGAGGGTTCAAGGGGTGGGAAAAAAGGGAGGTACAAGTCATTATTGAATAAAAAATATCATTTTTATATTTAGAGTTGTTTTTCGAAAGAATATTTTTAATATTTTATAACAAAAATTAATTTTTTTATAGTAATATTTTAACTTATAAACTATTTATCATGTTGTCCAAATAGGCTTTAGTTTACTAAAGATAAAAAGTTAAAAAAAATACAAAAATCAATGACAAAAGCTATTTTGATTTGTTTGGTTTAGCTTATAGCTTATAGCTTTGTGGAAGTCAGAAAACAGCTTATTCTTTAAGTGGGGCAGGAGATGCTTTAAGAATAAGCTGGAAATCAGCTTAAGCTGAAAGTTATAAGCTATAAACTGTTTAGGCATAAGCTATAAGCACTTTTCCACAGCTCTACCAAACAGGGCCAATCACCACTCCCACCACCCTCTACACACATGTGGCGGGTGATGATTGAAGGAGAAGGAAAAAATAAAATAAAAGTGACCAATCAAATGAAGAGAGGGTTAAGGGGTGGGAAAAAAGGGAGGTACAAGCCATTATTGAATAAAAAATATCATTTTTATATTTAGAGTTGTTTTTCGAAAGAATATTTTTAATTTTTCATAACAAAAATTAATTTTTTTATAGTAAAATTTTAACTTATAAACTATTTATCATGTTGTCCAAATAGGCTTTAGTTTACTAAAGATAAAAAGTTAAAAAAATACAAAAATCAATGACAAGAATTAAAGTATTATTTTACATAAGATAAATCTATCTTTTTTGTGGGTCCTCCACCCATATACAAATTAGTGTCTATTATTTTATTTTATTTTTTTTTATAGAGAGTAGTGTCTAGTTATATATGCTTATTTTAAGAAGTAAGAAAAAGTTAATTTTTTTTTATTTATTTTTTTTTAATAAAAAAAGTATAAAAACATAAAGAGCTAATGTGACAAAAATAAGTCAATAAATTAATAAATTAACGTTTTTCCTAATTGTCAAAATAGGCTGTAATTAATTTTGTGAAAATAGAATAACAGACTAAAAAATAATAAAATGTATATTATATATGAAATAATTGTTTAATAGGTAATGATTATTTTATGAGTATTCATTCTATTTCACATTCATTTTAGTGATCAAATACAATATTGAAGTAATGCTTAATTTCATTTATTAATTGACATTTTTCACATTATCTCTATAATTTTAATATAAAAGTAATGAGTTGTGTAAGTTAAATCAAGAATTATTAATTTGAAATATCATATGAACTTCCTCTGAGAGAACTAAATAATTTTCCAAATTTTCATATTGCACATGTGATGTTTATCTTCGTTTTTCTTTTTGCACACTTTGAAGGGCAAATGCTAATGTGGTTTTTAAGCATTGTTTAGTATTGGGGTTAGAGTGAAAAATGTTTTAAATATAGGTAAATAACTTAGAAAGTATTTTGACTTAATTAAAAAGTGTTTTAAATTTAGTAAAAATATTTCGTGTTTTTCACTTTTTTTTTTTGTATTTTTCTTTTAAATTTAAATTTTATTTTTGAGGCACTTGCAATCAAAACTTTATTTCAAATATATGCACAAATATTTTAGGGGGACTCATATTCATACTTTATATTTGACGTTGCATCCAATGCCAGACCAAGAACAGTAGATGGAATTGCTTTGGGCTCATAAATAGTTTCTCATTTAAAAAAAAAAAAAAAAAAATGTTGTGAAATGGCTCATAGACTTTGGACTACAGACAATAATTGCAACCTCAAGAATCAAAATCATTTTGCTAAGGAAAATGCACTGGCTCCCATAGCTTTTTGTATGCCTTTTCTGGTGGGGAAAAAAAGAAAAGAAAAGAAAAGAAAAGTAATCCTTGGATGCTCAAAAGTACATTTTTCAAAATTTATTTTCTGAAATTTAAATTTTAATACTTAAAAACATCCAATTTGTCATCAATGTATCAGTTTAATGACTTTCGTTTCTAATATTTTATATTAATGTTATATCCTATAGTTTTCAAATTTAATTATCGTTACTCATAAAATTTGGTATGTCCTTAGCAAAACTTTAAGGTTATATTTGAATCATAAATTTAAATAGATCTTTGAAAACAAAAAGGAAAAACGTGAAATGAAATATAAATTAATTTATCTCATGAAAATTATGAGGTTAGCCACAGTTTTGAGAGTTATAGTAATACAATTAATTAAGAATCAAACAAAGCTGGTAAGGAAGAATAAATATATCCAAACACAAACCTAGGATTCCCTCCTAGTGGGTTATAGTATATATATTATGGTGAACATGAGGTGTGTCATTCTCAATGGACATGTCAATCTCCTTATTTCAATTCTAGTAAAAAAATTGCCAAGATGTCACTCATTTTTTTTTAGATAAAATCTTTGTGTCAGCTAAAATAACCAAATCAAGGTTGTTAAAAATTGAAATAGTTTGTGGGTACTGCTCATTTTTGTGTGTGTTCTTTCTCATACGTCTTCTGGGGTTTGATCTCCCAATAGGAGCTTTCCAAATTTGCAATGCAACCCCTGTATCATGCTATATTACTATTTGTTCGATAAGTTATACATGTTCTCTCCATGTATATCCTTTAGATAAAGTAATTAGAAATAAAAAGATCATTAACTATAAGGGGCCTTTTAGGAAGTGGAGGGCCAAGACTGTTAAGTTGATGCTCGAAGTTGGGGTTTGTATTTACTGTATTTTTTGTCTAGAGTTACTTAAGAGTATGATCGTATTATAAAGAAATATTGAATTGAAATGTATAGAGATTTGTAATCTTTATTCTACATAGCGTATTTTTTTATATTCCATGTGTTTGTTTTATTTCTCTTTATTGTTTTGTGACTAGAACTATCTGACTTACACATAATTTGTTATCACACTTTCAGATCAATGAGTGGAGTTAACTTGACCTACTTTAATTGGCTAGTAGAAAACGAAGTCAACATCTTTCATCTTATTTTGTGTGACTTTATTAATTGAGAGCGCCACATGCACATCACAGTGGTCTTTTGAAATTACTGAAATAATTTTCTGATATAACATAGCAAAGCCAAATAATAATTAAATTTGTACACATTTCCTTGTTATTGAACCTACCAAACAACCTTTTACAATTAACATGTGATCAAATGTTGCACCTTGATGGTGATAAATAAGGTAGGTGAAAGGAATACCCAACAAACTGACATAGGCATGTTGTGTATGTCAATCATGCCACAATGATGTTTAACATGAGAGTCACTTCGCTATCACAACTTCTTTGTCATAGTTCTAATTTCCAATATGAAACAAATAATTGAGCTATCTCTTATGAAATTAACTAGAAATGCTAAAGATAGGTACACTTGAACTAAATGCAAAGATATATTATTAGCAAATATTAATTAGATCCCTTTGCTTTTGAGATCTAACTATGTACTAGGTTGGGCCCAGAGAGAGAGACATTCATTCTACTTTCAAGCACACAACTACTTCAATTTTTTTCTATTGAAGTTGGGGACTGACATAGGCCAGAGAGTAACATTTCAAGCAAACAACCAGTATCAATGTCTTGTATCCTCTTGCCCTCTCATAAGGACATTTTTATTAATAAACGAGAACTGATCATATGTAGGATTTTCTTGGACCAGTTTAGGAGTTTAAACTCGGGATACATGCCATCACTTACTAACCTCACATATCGGCAAAGTCGGATACCAAGACTCGAAACCCAAGTCTCCCAGTATAAAACCTAGTACAATTAGTTCTGAGACAAATAGTTTTGAGAATATCAATTTCCTAGAATTATGCATCATATCTCATATCTCATATTTGGAATATCCTTGAATTAGGAGAACTTATCTTATGTAATGTTTGTTTGCAATAACTAGACATGGATTAAATGGTGTAGTGGCTACAGTTTGAGGATACTGTGGTCTTTTAACTCCTTAATTCAGACTTTTCTTAATCTCTTATTTTTTATTCAACCCTTTCTCATTAGGCCAGTATGGGGTGATATAGAGTCCAGAGACCCACTTTTATAATTAAATAGGATATTTGAAATTAAAGAGGATATATATATAGTCCAATCCCATGACTTAATTCTCCCAACGAACACAACTTAAGTTGAATTAATAATAGCAAAAATATAAAAAATATATATAGATGTATCAGTATAATGGGATCCACTGTTGATATTCTTATCTATATATTACTAGCGGTAACCCGTGCGATGCACGGAAAAATAGACTATATATATTTTGTGTGATAAATAAATCATCTTAATATTAAATTATATCTTAATAGCGACAAGCC